GGATAAAAAGAAAAAACTTCCCCCTTCATCCCCAGCAAGTATATTCAGCATTAACAACTTATCACTGTCCCTTAAAATACTACCAAATACATCTTCATTCCATTCTTCACCCCATTTTCTACAGATCCATCTCTAAATCCCCAGATCTCCTTATTAAACAACAAAAAATACAAAGATTAACAGACATGACTAACAACATAAGCATTTAGTTCCCCTTTCCATTTAAACATAATCCCCCTAATCCCTATCCAAATAATCAAAATCTAATCCCAATAAACAATTAAACATTACAAAAAGATAAAAAACATTAATCATCACCAGAGATAGCAACTCATTATTAATCTCAATTAACAATTAAACATTACAGAAAAATAAAAACTGTTCAACATTACCAGAAATAATAATCCCTTTTTTTATATACCAAAAATAATAACATAGATATTACAAACTAATCTATTACACCCAAATGAACATTTCCAAGAAAGAACTATCCAGTCAAAGTAACCATTAATATCACCAAAGATAGCAACCCCTTACTTAAGCATAATCAAATAAACCAGTTTTGTATTTTTCTTCTTCCTTCCATCAATCCCTGAATCCTATAGATAAAGTTCTAACATCTGCTTTCTTCTCCTATCCTTCTCTCTTCTCTTGAAATCCTTGTCATAAGTCCATATATAATTTCAATGCAGCCACTCAAGTAAGTCTCTTATATTCCAATTTAAACGGGTAATCTACATCCCACTTTTGATACATTATTTGTATTTTTTAAAAAAATTTAAATGATCATCCAATTCCATTTCTAATCCAATATTTTCATCTCTTTCTTATGGGTTGTAGTTTTTAAGTCCACCTTAAAAACGATTTTGGTTATCTTCCAAGGGTTTTCTTTCTCTTCAGTGACAACTTTTGATTCTAGTATAGGGTTAAATAGTCCAAAAATTTACTGAGCCAACTTATAAACATTTCCTTTAAAGTAGCTATCTGGTACTATATAGTGATTAACCTTCAAGGCTTTGTTATCAGGTCGAAATATAAACATGTACTTTTTTTTGCATACAAGAGGATCTTTTTAATTAATTTCAAAGTCTTTCTTTAAATCAATTTTATCCAAATCCTTAGAATTTAAAAACTTTCCAAAAAACACTATAGTCCTTCTTTAGTTATGTATTGCAAAAAATAAAGATCTTACAAAGCTGGAAACATGTAGTTTTCTTCCTTTTTAAACGGATTGAAGAGAGACTCACCCAGCGAATACCCAGCTTGTGGTTCCGAAGGTCTTTCAGTCTTAAAGAAACAGTAAGAAAAAAATTAAACTCCAAGGAAATTAAAAAACAGGTTTGGATGAACTTTGAGTCCATGAAAAGGCTACATTAATGGCTCAGAGCATAATGAAACCGCAACTCCCAGCTGATCACAGATGTCCGCAAAAATGTCAGTTTCTGCTGTTGACTCACAAAAAACAGTTGTCCGGAATGCGTGAGGGTAATCTCAAGATCTCTCTTATCCAGAGAGAATTATTGGCAGTCTGGATCCTGCATTAAGCTGCCTTTCAGCTGCAATGTCTCCCAAGGACCGCAGGGTGTCAGTTTGCCATTCCTCACTGGAAGTCTGTTTTCTTAGTTTTTCAGAAGTGGTTTGCACTGGCCCAAGGTCACTCAGCTGGCTTTGTGCCTAAGGCAGGATTAGAACTCAAAGTCTCCCAGTTTCTAGCCTAATGCCTTATCCACCACACCAAACTGGCTCTCTGTCTTCGAGTCATTTTTTGACTCCTGGCAACTGCCTGGACTAGTCCCTGCAGTTTTCTTGGCAAGATTTTTCAAACTGGGTTGCCATTGCCTGTTTCCTAGGACTAAGAGAGAGTGACTGGCCCAAAGTCACCCAGCTGACTTTGGGCCTAAAGCAGGATTAGAATTTACCGTCTCCTGGTTTCTAGTCTGGTGCCTTAACCACTACACCAAACTGGGTCTCTTTAAAAATTATGGAGAACCCCAAAAGAGCTTTTGTTTGTATGGATTATATTTATCAGTGTTTATGATATTAATATAATTGGCGCATTTGTAGAATATTTATTTATTGAATCCTGTAGAAATAACAATATTAATCTTATTAGATACTAACATAAATATTTTTCATTAAAAAACTTACAATTTTTAACAAATAAAAAATGAGTGACATTGTTTTAAATTTTTGCAAATATCTTCATTATCTGGCAAATAATTTTGATTTTGCAGACCCCTGAGAGGGTCTTGGGGAACCCTCAGGGGTCCTTGGACCACAGTTTAAAAAACAGTGCTTAGATTAAATGGGAAAGATGTCACCAGGATTTCGCCTCCTTACCCCCCAACCACCTAGGCTAGTAGAGTCAAGAGTAACCTGGACTGGGCAACAGGTTGGAGGACCTAATGGCAGCTGAGAATAAATAAAAGGGAGACCTGAATCCTTTCTGTCAACAAAATTGACACAAAAGGATTGGACAAAAAAAGATTTGGGGCCAGTGCTCTCCAAATAGGCAAAGGACTGTGTCTTCTTAATCCATGAGAGCTGGGGAAACCATATTCTAAGTGTGTGATTACCCATTTTGTAGAAAGCCACTTTAGCAGCATTAGAATTAAGCTCCACTCTTATGAAATCTGTTGGACTAAGCAGAAAATTATTATAAACTTAGTTGTTCTCCC